ACAGCTCTCAATCTCATCACTTCTTTGTGTTTTGAAACCTTCCCTGATCTTGTCACTGCCGGAGCACAGCAATGCATTTGTCCTAGCCATTCAAACTCCTGCTTACACGCCGGTTCTTTTGGTTTCCTTACACTCAGTATGGTGTTGTGCTCCTTTTATGTCTTGGCTCTGCTGCAGCACACAGCATTCCCAGAGTAAGCTCATACTGTATTTTTCGTTTCTCCATGTTTGTGTCAGCTCACCTGTGGACACCGACAGAAGGATCACAGTGGCTGCAATCTGCCAGCTTCTTAATTGTTTTGCCATCCCTCGGTAGTGAATATCATGTCCAAGTTCAGTAACTTCTGCTGTGGGCACAAAGCCAGAGGTCCTGGGATATGGTGTCTAGTAAACTTTTCCCTAATTATAGCCTCTGAAAAATTAGAAAATAGGTATTATTTTAAAATTATAGCCAGCATCCACTCAATTGTATGTTAACTAAAGCCAATACAGAATGTCTTGGTTTGCACAAAAATGTTTGCAGTTAACTGACTTAATATATGGCATAAGGATGGAGAGTTTTTGTTGCGAGAAACTGATCTTTGCCTCTTTGAACTGCACAGGCTACAGTGAAATTTCTTGCTTTGTTTGAATACCCACATTCGGGTCTCTAATTTGAAAGCAAAAAGCACAATAACTTCCTGTGACTCTGCATCAGTTCCACCGCAAAAATGTTTCTCTGTTAGAACATAGCAAGGCATGAATGAGAACTAATAAAACAGAATTTATCCCTAAAAAAAAAAAAAATTAAGTACAAGCTTTCCAATATCAGTATCTAATGAAATTGGCAAATAACAGGCCTGAATCCCAGTTACACAAAGTATCTGCACTCTCACCAATTTATCCAGGTTGCATCTCTTGAAAATAAAGCAGCTCTTACACTGAGTAAAGGAACTCTGCATTCACTGTCTTAAAGACAGATGTCTGGATGGTGCTTAATGTAGCTATTTGGAAACTGAAAGGAGAGAAGTTGGACGCTGCTGTCAGGGAGGTTGTTTTATAAATTGTTTTATTCCACAGCTATTCACATGAATATAACATCTGCAAATTTCAGTAAGAGCTTATGAGATTTTGTAGAACCAACAATTTATACATAATCCCTCCTATCAAGATAGGGCCATATCTTTAAATATAAACACACTCATATGAGAAACCCAACAGATTTAGAGAAGTCCAGTGAAAGGATCAAATTCTGAATGCACATACATGAAACTCCACTGGAAACTTCAGCAGTGTGCTAGAACACTGAAAGCAAAATTTGGTTCTCAATTTGTCTCTGAAGACTGTAATTATATTTCCCATTGTACTGGTAACATTAATTGAATGTTTAGCTGAAATCAAGTTCACTACAAGTTAAATACAGTACCTCACCTATTAGGATGGTGTTTATAATTATAGTCACAAAGCACTTGTAAAACATCTTCATTGCAGCAAATAGGAGGAAGTTGGGGTGTAGTGGCTGCTGCACATTTCAGTTCACTGCATCTCTGCATCTGAGCTGGATTGTACACTGAGGTCACATAAGCCCCTGAATCCTCTCTATAGCCAGTGGCAAGAGCTGAATTTTAGAGGGACGTGGCCTACAACTGTTAGCAGAAAAATGTAATATTGCACAAATTGTTATGCAAGGTTTTTTTCAGTCTAGCTGGACCTTACTAAACATTTCTAGACCTATAAGGAAACACATTCTCATGCAAATATACCCGGTTATTGGCCTGATAATACAATTTTAAGAATAAAACAGCTTTTAATAATACAAGACCTAAAGATTACCATTCTCTTTGATATATCAAATTTTATATTTGATTTCCTCACTCTCTGAGGGCCCTACTCCAGAAGACACCTGATGTGCTTTTGGTATTGCCAAAAGTCAGTCTGTCATAACTCCAACAGACACCCTACTCAGAGCTACACTGCCTTTGGTGGAAGCTGAATGATCACCAGCAGTGAATGGAGTACACAAGTGAACCTTTATAATGAATTACATTCCTTTTTATAGCCATTTTCATAAAAATAGCGACACCCAAAAAGAAAAATTAATTTTAAGGTAATTTATTTGACATGATTGAAGACACAAGAACACTCAAGATACAATCCAGACAAGTTGTGAACAGCTCCAAACATCAGTGAAATCTGAATTTACCTTGCACAAAGGTGAACAAGACCACAATGGTTGGTTTTATAATATAGTTTATTTCAAGCAGGTGAGTACTGTGACGTTATGCCCAACAACTTTTATACTATTCATCCGCTTAAGCCACTTCATATCATAAATATGCAGCTTATCTTGGCAATTAAATGTCTGCAATATATAATTAGCCTTCTCATAATAATGCATTAAAACTCCTGTATGTAAGTATTGGTATATTCATACCAATGTAAACTGTCCTAACCATCACTGCACATTTATCATATTCTAACACAATTAATCATTCCATCACAATTAGCTGCTAAACTTTAACCTAGAGTTCAGTAACTTGGACCCAAACTTGCAAGTTGCTGCTCAGAGCAAAACTTATGCCAGGACCCCTGCCTTCCCTATGGGTAGCAGGCCTTGTCTTTCCAACATTAAGTTGCACAATGTCATCTGAAGCCCCTACAAAAAAAATGCTGTGCAGGGACCCTCCTGCAAAGGTATCAGAACTACAATTCTAAAATTTACTCATTTCCTAGTAAATTCCACAATAATTTTACAGCCTACCATCCTTTATCAAAATGGGCATCCACATGCCTCTTACAGTGTAAAGTTGTTTAACTGGGTTAAAGTCTACAGACCACAGCATAATATTCTACTTAAAATTCTAATTTCTTAGGAAGACAAGCTAATTTTCCATTCTTAAAGAGGGCAACTAGGATAGATGGGAGTTTGTTCAGTAGTTCAGTGCTCTGCAAAGGTAAGCTTGACAGTGCTCTCATCAGACTGAAGGAGGAAGTGCAAAAATATGCAAACTACGTTTTACAGCTGCAGTAATTTCAACAAAAAGCCCCTGCTTGGACCCAAATGGAATCTTACAAAAAGTGAATACAAAGGGCAGAGAATCACTGCTGTGCAGGGAACTGTGCTTCAGAAGAGCTGCAGGAACTACCAGCAGCATTCCCTGCAGACAGCTGAAAACAGCACAAAAATCATGGGTCACCTAATCTTGCAGGTCACCTCCTTGTCATAGGGGAGAGGAGGGTATGGCAGCCATTTAGTAGATCAAATTCTGTGTTAAGGCCACTGAAAACAAATCTGTGCAGAATCGGACCAACTCAATTTAACACTGCATGCAAAGACACCAAAGCCTGTTTTAAAGATTTTTGTCTTTTGGTAGGTGGAAGTGGTAAACAGAGACTGGGTCTTACCTGCAGCTGCAATAATGAGTGCTGCCTGACTTCGGAAGGTAGTTTCTTGTTTGCAGTTCTTTTGGTTGTTTGCTGTTTTCTTAGCTAGAGAAAACCCCAAAACCTAGTGAAAAAGCTGTATATCCAGATCATATAAACTAATTTTAAACTTGGTTTTACAGGAGGATTCATCCATTATTATGATAAACTGCTGGAGAAAGAATGGCTACCATCTGAAATGAAGAAATGAAAACCCTGGCATCCTACTAATACATCTGTGTAATGTGTTTAGCTGGCATGACTTGCACTGCAGGAAGAATGTTGTAGTCTCTGACACACTAACATTTCTTTCCTATTACTGTAAGATCAGCTTTTTACATTTCATATCTTACCATCTTTAAAAGCCTATAATTACAGAAGCTGATTGAGAAACTATGGTATTTAAAATTAACAGCTGAATGAAATCAACAGAGGCAAAGAGCATTTTTATACAAGAAAATAGCACTGTAGAAAGAAAGAGTCTGTACAATATTTAAATATTGTATATACATAAAATTATATTGTTCATAACTCATCTTAAAAGTTTCTCTTGTTTGTAAACCATGGAAAGCAACACACAAAAAAAATCCCAGTATTTAGCTTTTAAAGCATTTAGCAGGCAGCAGGAAATCGACTGCTAGCAAGCACACTTTGTAATTATAGAAAGTATCCAGCTGGATACTATGACTTAGCATTCTCCTTAGTCCTCTATTTATATATATATTTTAAAGCTGAATGCAGAACACATTTCCCATTCAACTAGGGAATTCTGCAGGAGACAGAAAATTCAATGGCAAAATCCAGTGGATCAGTTCTGTGGCAAAACTGCAGGATAAACACAGAAAGCTTAAGTGCAGGATTGGAACATAAATTAGTGAAATTATTGATTAAGTTTTAATCTCCCAACAGTGTCAGTAATGGATTTAACTCATATTCCACTTATTAGAAAGGAAGGTTTTCATTAATAACAACATTTCAAAGTTTCAAAAACATAATGAATTCCAGCAGGTAATTGGGCAGCTCTGTATAAGTGCTCTGAAAGTGTAAGCATTTTAGGGTGATTCTAGGTGACACCAATCTGCTAATTTGGCGTGGGATTTGAATTTGAATCTGTAGTTGTCAGTTCATGGCAGATACAGAATGTAAGTTTCAGAAGTTTTTCACCTGTAGCATTTTGCAAAATAAGAACTATTGGAGTTGTAAAAGAAATATTGCAGGTGAACATGCTGAAGAAAATGTTTCCAGAAAGTTGTTATTTGAAAAACAATGACGCTGCAATGACCATCACTGCATTTCCCCTGTGTTAGAGTTCTGTGCTCACAGACTTGTAAAGCCACGTAGCTTTATTTAATGCTATTTGTAGTTTCATTATATTGGCTTCTGCCTTCCACTTTATTGGCCATTCAACTCAACACAGAAATATATTTTACTCCATTTAAATGTCTGCTACACAAAATATGTTATGGTACTTTTGATCTGAATGGTCTTCTCTCTTTAAGTCACTTAAATGTTCCTGGACAGCCATCATCTAGCTGTACTTCCCAATCTCAATACAAGAATTAACAGGAAAGGAAAAACAATCACTTGAAGAAGGAGGAATAACCCAATACACCAGGATATGCTGTGGACTCGGAAGCAGCTTGGTGGCAGTAAAAGACCTCGGGGTCTTGGCAGACCGAAGGCTGAGTGTGAGCAACGTGCCCTTGCAACAAAGAATGCCAACAGCCTCCTGGGCCCTACTGGGAACAGCACTGTCAGCAGGTCAAGGAACGAGATTATTCCCCCTTATTCAGCCCTGGTGAGACCACAGCTGGAGAGCAGGGTCTGGTTCTGTGCTTCCCAGAGCAAGAGAGACGTGGACATACTGGACTGAGAGCAGCAAAGGGCCAGGAAGATGCTGAGGGGACTGGGGTATCTCCCACGTGAGTAGAGGCTGAGAGAGCTGGGGCTGTTAGGTTCAAGAAGGCTCAGGGAATGTTAGCAACATGTACAAATGCCTGACAGCAGACAGGAAAGAAGATGCAGTCAGACTTATCAGAGGTATCCAGTGTAAGAGGCAATGTACACAAATTCAGACTCCAGATATTCCTTTTAAACAAAAAAAGAAGCTTTTTTGCAGTGAGGGTTGTCAAATGAAGTTTAGGCATCTCCATTCTGGAGATATTCAGAACTGAAGAAAGCAACCTATTCTGGCTGATACTGCTTAGAGCTGAGAGGTTGCATCAGACAGTCAATGGATGTCCTGTTCAACCTCAACTGTTACGTGATTCCGTGGTTTCAGATGGAAACTAATAAAAATAAGTTTAAAAGACCCAAATGGGAAACAGCTTTGCTCTTAATAGTCTTCTGAAGTATAATGAGGGCAATGCTCACTAATGATTCTAACAGTTTGTTCTGAGAGCTTTGACAATAAAGGCCTTGATTTCAAACTGGAGCAATCAATATTAGGTTCTGAGATATATATATGCTTCCGAAATGTAATATTAAGGATTTCTGAGGATTTTCTTTTCCCATTTCTTTGAGTCATTAATTTTCAACACTTTAAATTTCAAAAGCACTGGGTAAAGTCAAAAGAATACTATAGACTACTAATTTGTTCCCATTGCCAGAGGATGGTGCTATTTAAACAGATATCCCACAAAAATACACCCCCTACAACAACCATGTGGGTTAGTGACTTTTTCTGAGGAGAAAGAGGAAGAAGAACAAGGCAAAGAGATTATAATTTTATATATTTTTAACTAGCCTTTGAGACTCAAGAATAATCAGTGTTTACTTAATAAAGGTAGATCTTTAGCATGCTTGAGTAATTTGGGAACTTCTACTACTCCTGGACTTTAGCTCCCAAAACTTTGTAAGGGTCTTTGAAAATGCAGCCTTTGGTCATCAAAGGGCACAAACACGACATTACCCCACCTTACTACTAGCTGTTCTCATATAGCCTGCTGAAATTCAACTTGACTACATGATATATGAAAGTCAAAAAATGGAATACTGGAAGATCAGTCTCACAAACAGGCCGTGGTGGGGAAAAGGACCATCAGTAGTTTAAGAAATCAATACCAACTTTGACACTTTTAGAGGTCGCAACATCAATGGCCATGGCTTTGATTTCAGTGTCCCCAAACTGCATCAGTGTTTTGATCTCCCGCCGGTTTGGCACTGAAGCGTCAGTTCCCGTGAGATCCAGGCGAAGGGTGCCACACTTCTTCACCCCAGATTCCGTGATGAAGCTAACGTTGTCTTGTTCTGAGCTATAGATATTGATCACTATTACCAGCTGGGAAGGTTTGGCAGGTGTGTAACTGCGTGTCACAGTTTCCCCAAGCGCTACAGATTGGTCGGCTGAGATAAATTTGTCAAAGACATCAGTGCACCAGCGTGTGCCATCTTTGACTAGAAGCTTCTCCGGTGGGTGCTTCCCTTCCACGAACCGGTTGAGCACACCAACGCCATAGGTGAGCGGCGAACGCCGCACTTTGATGACCGCAGGGTCTAGGCCAAAGAGAACAGCTCCTTTGAGGATGGTGAGACCCACATCCTGAGGAATGATGACTCGACATCTTGAACCAAAAGCGCTCTGCACAGCTTGTTGGAGCAAGGGGGATTCGGCAAAGCCACCCACCAGGAACAGAAATTTGACGTTGGTCACTTCTGGCTTGTCGAACACTTCACCTAAACAGAAACAGAGCCCATTCAATAAGGAAAAATACACTGTGACGAGGCAATGCTAGTGCAAATCCTAATGTCTGAGTCCACTAAATGTTTCATGCACATGCACAAGATCTGAAAGTGACACATCTGTGCCCACGCTGCCACTCTCAGCATTCACTACTCCCACTTCTGGAGTCTCTACTATACTCTATTTCACTATGGATTCACTTATTGCAAAGCATACAGTATTTCTGAAGTTGCCTTTAAAACAGAATTTTTATTTATCTTCTACCAGTAAAGGGAGACATACATATCTTGCAACAAAATCCTGCCAATCACATTATTGGTAATAAGGAAACAGACATCATCTTGCCACTTCAGGTATCAGCAAGACATTCTCAAACCCAACTGATTCCCACACTCATTACTACATTCCAGGTAAGTCACCCCATTTTAAGTTCACTTATTATTTCTGACCCTGACATCTTAACCACAATAAATACCATCTGTGAAGTTATACCTCCTTACATTTTTACAGATGTTCCTTCTTAGCTCGAAGTCATATCCCATACTTTCAGGAATATCATGCAGCTCAGTTGTAGGTTCACCCTTAGCTCAAATGACTGAGTTACATGGCACAACTGTTGTAATTCTAGGCCTCTCCCTCCCTGTCCACATGTAAGTTCTGACCTCTGTAGTTTACCTAATAATCCCTCACATGTAGTGAGCAAAGCCAGATATTCCATTCCAAGTATGATTCAGCTAGTGCTTTTTAAGGTGTAGAACAGAAATACTTTGCTCAGTACATTCATTATACTCTACTTGACACAAATCCAATCTTCCACCACAAAGATCTTAATCATTTTCCCAATAAGCCCACATCACTTTTCATTACTGAATAAATAAATTCAGTGCTATTTAAGCCATGTCTGGAAGTACTTTTCCCATGATGCATCATTTACTATTTGCATTTAAGAGATGTCAGTGATTTGGAGGTTCAGGAACAAAAGCGTCCTTCCACTGGGAAGAAATGAACTGGAGGTCTCAAAAGCAAGAAAAAGCAGAAACTAGTGAACACCTCTGGCATTATTAAGTTGCTGCTTGAAACAGGAAAAAGAAAAGCAGGATCTGGGTTTCCTGGTGCATTTTAATCTTGTGAATGTTTGCAGCCCTGGAAGTATAGAATAACTGAAGCTTAGGCAGTAACAGGACTGAATCACACTCAGTAACTAGTACTAGAACTAAAGAGGAGTATGTGTTCAGGAGATGTCCCTCACTTTCATCATTTTCCTAACTCATTTGTAGACAACTACAAGTTTCAGAACTAAATTCCTCACCCACAACTGGTACATACTAGGAAGGTTGTTTGACTTTATTACAGTTACTGCTTTGAAACAGCAAAGAAAAACCGCTGTTTCAACTCAGCCAGTTAAGTGGAATTACACACAGATACATACTGAGGTGCTGAACAATCTGGTCAATTGTAGGTTTGAAAAGAGCATTCATTGCATCTGGGCTCATCCTCAGCATTCCCTGGGAAGACCACTTCACAAAGTCCACGCTGGAAAAGAACGGTTAGGAAAAAACATTAAAACGTTACAGCTGAGTTGTAAAACAATCATCAGACACACTAAATACATAAATGAGTGAGTTTACAGGATCTGTATGCCCTTTGCTTGTAAGAAAGTGCTCCACTTCACCCTAGCCCCATACCAACCGCAACAATGTAAAATTTTAGGATAGAATTATTAGTTTTCTTGTCTGATTGTTGTTCTCTTTGCCTGATTGCCTTTTGCAGCATTAGCAATGCTCAACTGCTTCCTGAAACAGCTGGCAGTCAACCCAGGGCTCGCTCATTTGAAACAGCACTGATTCATCCCCAGAAGGGCAACATTTATGGCAGTAGCAGGCCAAAGCCACTGGAAACACACAAGGAAAACAAGCAAATTTGGAAGCCTCAGGAGGCAGAAGAGGGCACAAGATTTTTAATGAGGCATAACATTTATTAAGTGAATACAGGCATTAGGTTATTCCATCACTGATACACATCTGTATAGGTCAGTAATCTCCCTTTCACTAATGCACACTATATGTCAACCTTTATAATCTTTCTATCCTGTTATCCAATTCATTTCATTTCATTTGAAGGGAACTTTTAGCATTCCCTCTAAGATTCACCATTAGGACTATTAATAAAAAGGAGATAGTCTTGTGAGGGGGAAATTTTAATGATTTCAGAACCTCAGGCTCATTTAGAAAGTGACTCTTAGCTGGATTTCAAGTCATTTAGGCTTACAGTACATTTATCAATAACTTTTGAAAGTTATATGCATACTACATTCACAGAACCACCAAATATGCTGAGTTGGAAGCAACCCACAAAAACTAAGCTCCCTCTCAGCTCTCAAGCATTCTGCCCTAGATTCACAGGCTCTTTTGTTCATTCTCTTTTACGCCATTATCTCCAGGTTTCCTGTAGTACATAATTTCAAAAGATGCAAAATGTCCAATTCTACTTTCTTCTCACTTCCTTTTCTATAGCAGCCCACAATCTTGTCATTTAGGGTGACTTCCTGATACTGAAAATCATGAATTAAAATCTCTGGAGGGGGTTGTCTCCCTACTTGTCGAGCAAACTACCTAACTGGTAAAATACTAAAGAGGCAAAAGCCTGCCATGACTTCAAAAGAAGAATGCTTTTCCCTTGCAGAGTTTTATGCAGTAGTACATGTTTTCACCAGTGATCTGATACTGCTAGTAACTATCCTCAAGCCATGAACATATTTACACATCTCACGATCTTGGATTTGTTCCAGGCTGATAAAAATTAAGGTTCTACATAAATAACTTTTAGGCAACAAATTCTGACTTTGATCTGATGCTCCGAATTAACATGAAAGGGACTCACAATGCACAGTCAAAGTCAAGAAAGTGATGCAGTGGTGGCCTAACAAAAGTCAGACAAAGCAAGACCTGACAAGTCCAAGTCTTGTACAGAAAAGCTTTTGCAAGAGATTGATCACAACTTTTCGTTCTGGAAACTGCAATGGAGGCAATCCCACCTTCTCATCCTTACATTACATTTTTATGCTATTATCTTTCAGGCTACATGTAAGTAGGATATTTGAATTATTTGTCTTTGCTACCAGTAATTAATTCTGCATCTATTTGGCTTCAATTGTCTACTTACTTGCTTTTCCTCAAGGCGTGTTCTACGCTGTGGCCTCGAAACTTCTTGTAATAGTCAATGAAGGAGAAGGGCAGAGTGATGTTTAGTGGGTTGGTCCTGTCTGGAGCTGCTGCCCGTTTACGGGACTCAAATGCTATCATCAGATCCACCCAGGCTGCAGGACGCTTGATTTTAAACTGCTCAATAAAATCTTCTCCAAATATTTTACACAGGAGCTTTTCAAATTCATAGTCCACACCTAGAGAACCATATGGCCCACCTGTACCACAAACAAAGCACAGCTTTAATATTCTGGACTGCTTATTACATTTCTAGTTGACCACAGACATATCAGAGCAACACTATTAGGACTGTCAAGGGAGAAGGTCTACGGAAAGAGGTGTCTTTCCTGAATGTAACAGCTGGTCTAATACATAACATGCTCTTACCTTTGCCTCACTTCTGCTCCTCTATCATCATAGCCAAAGTAAAGCTAACACTATAAATCAGAAACATTTTTATTAGAAGCAAACCACCTTCTTATCCACACATGAGGAGGTGTAGGTTGGACTTGTATTTAAGAGCAGACTGCGTACATTCTCCCATTTGCTTTTACTAGATTGTTTATTGCTACAGTTGTTTCCTGAGGTCATCTTACCAGTGTGAGATTTGCCATTCAAAAGCATCAGATGCATTAAGTGGTTCATCCATGTCTGCTGACCAGCAGCTGGGTTATACTAATTTTGAATGCTGGTCTTATTTCAGGGAGAACTGTTAGTAAAATGTAATAAAGGCATACATTTTTTTCACTGACAAGTCAAAATATTACATAAATATGTAATCTACAATATAATGACATAAAGCAAGCAATGGAAGTGACATTACCTGTTGCTTTGTACAGCTCCTTCAGATGTCCTTCAGGGAGCCTGATCTGATGGACAGTCATATCCACTGTGCCTCCTCCACTGTCAACGACGATGTAACGGTCCCCTGGTTTGCCAAAGGGAGAGGGCAAAGGTTTTTACATTAGTCCTACCACCCAGCACACTGCAATGAGAGCTGCTCAGGGGCATTAGCACCATGAGAGAAAATGACCTACAGAAAGCCAGAATGCCTATGCTGAAGACTTGATCTTTACTAGTAGATACAATGCAATGACTGATAACAAATATAAAAGTCAGCTGTCAAAAGCTATTGATTTAGTGCAGCTGTTCAGTAGATTAGTGGGACTGCTCGTGCTGCTATGTACATTCTAGTCGACTACTAAATTAACACTATTTAAAAGGCATATTTAAAAGGCCTATTCTGAGGAAAATATTCTGCATGCATTTTAAAACCTGGATGGTTTTCTATCATCTCCTTAATAAACGGTATTTTGCTAGAGCACACGGAATTGCAGTTCAGTGTTACTAACTAAGAGCAGCACATGAACCTGTGGTTTTTTTCTTTTCCTATTTATAATCACGGTGAGAACAATGCAGTGCTCAGTACATGTGTGAGAAACACAATTTTTGCCTGCAACATAAAACCAGTGAAAGCAATGCTTATTCAAGAAAGGACACTACCTTCCTCCAGTTCGGACCAGATCTCTCCTATGACATTTTCCACCATAAAGGTACGGCTCTGTCGTTTATGACGCACGTGTTCCTTAGCTAGGGGTTGACAGAGAATAAATTATTGAGTATAGGAAAGCATGAAGAAGTGGGTATCATAAATTGCAGGGTAATGCAAGCAGGCTGACAGGCCTGTATGTATCACTTCTTAACAAAACAGATGAACAAAAATTACTGCATTGGAATCAGGAACATTAGAATATCACTCCTAGGAAGAAGAAAAAATGTTTTTCAGCCACACTGATCTTCCTTGATATTAATATATATATTACATATATTTTAATATATACTAATTAACTAATACAAATAATATAAACAAATAATATATACTAATAACCTAATAAGAAAGTTATAAACAGGTCTGACTTGGGGCTTTTTAATATATTCTGGATTGCATGGCTGGCATGGGGTAGGCTGGCAGTGGTGGGGGGGGGATGGCTCATCACAGCCTCTGTCAACAGTAGCCCCAGTCCACTGCCTATCAGGATATCAGTCTGCCTCTGCAGCCAAAGCAGTACTGCTCACATTAGTAACTTCTTAAGGACACAATGATCACCAGGTCTAACACTCATAATATTTAAAATATATACCAATTAAAAATTCAGCGTAATCTAGCCATACTTTTATAACAATCAGTTAACTTACAAGACTTAACTGCTACTTAGACATTTAAAAGATGGAGAACAGTCTGTGAAGAGAAAGCAGAGTAGTGAGAACCTTTGCCTTATGCTTCTAAATCAACCTCTACAACTGAATGATCAAAACCCCCCACATTCTCTGTGTATCCTTCACTCACCTTCAGAGGCATTTTATAAAACACTACAGAGAAGAGGCATCCAGTCATGTGTGAAAATTCCTTCTGAAAATATCAGCATGCGAATCCAGAATGCATTTTGCTTCCAGTTTCTACAGTGCCTATCACCAGAAAACAGAGCAGCAGTTCCACCTGCTCCTGTCCCCTTCCCATAAAGACCCCACGAAGCAGACAAGCCACACCAGCCTCCCTGCACTGACTTGACAGCACAGTGTGAGCTCACGTGATGAAGCATTCCAGGACAGAACAAGCACTAGGTCCAAGGAAAGGTCTGACACAGAGCCCACAAAATTCAAGGGCAGCCCTTTCTTTCAATCCTGTGGGCTAGAAGTGAATTCAAGAGCCAGTCTTTAACTACAACTGAACTAACCTTATCTTATCCTGGCTACTATGAACAGTAAAATTTTTGTTTTGACTTCACAGCAAAAATACGGTCCTTTGAGTAATTCTCTCTGTTTATAGTTAAGGGTTTTTTCTCCTTAATCTGTTCTCAGCTTGTCTTGGGTGCCTGCCATGCCTTTATGAAATTTTAATTCTATCCCCAAATCAATTCACTCCAAACTTTGTTTTCATTAATTTTGACACGAAACCTTTCTCATCTCCAATAGCTTTTACCATACAAAGTCAAGAAGGAGAGTGGTAACCCCATCCAAAAAAGCCCGTTAGCACAAATCCAGGATCTGACAGATTCTGCCCAGCTTCAAAACCTTATCTAGAGAAATTATTTTCTTCTATTATTTTCCCAGAGGCAAATCCCTGTGTTGTCTGAAAGTGAGTTCACGTAGAATCACATGGAAGTGGAATGGTTCAGGACATGAATGAGGGGGACAGCAGCTGAGGGGCCCCTGAAGGGACTGTATCCTGGAAACAGATTGTGTCCTGTACTCTGCGTGGGCCTCCAAACACTGAACACATCTGACAAGAGCTGGCAAGGAGAGGCATGGATTTGAGAGAATGATGTAGTGATTCTGCTAACTGAAAGAAAAAAATGCTCTGGTAAGTGCAGGAATAGCTTTACTAGCCTAATCTTCCATCTGCCTCTACTGTTTTGATCTAGCAAATGTGATAAAATACAGATTCTTCTGAAAAATTCATGCTGGGACAGACTATCACACTACCGTTAATATCAGGGCAATTGTTACAGTGCACAGAGATGGCAAATATGTGCATTATGCAGCAATCAACTCTTACTGCTGTTGATTTTTTTTCCCTCTCCTACTTCCCTCCAACTTCAGCAGGATACCAAACTCAAAAAATACTGGTGATGAGGGATCTTTTGGCAGGTGACTTCTTACACTGTGGTCTAAGCCCTGTCCCCCACTGTCGGTCTTCAAACACTGACACTAGCAACAGATCTCAAGTAAATAAATCAGAAGTGCCCTATCTTGTTGGTATTCTACAAGCAGATAAATTAATTGCTATATTCCAATACCACGTGTTCCACCGTGTTGAAAGTCATTAATGGTATTTCATAAAGATGACATCAGAAAGCATCTGCCAAAACTAATAGTTTCATTGAAGATCCAGGTATTTAACACTGCTTCAATAATGCAGCTAATCAAACACATAACTCTTTCCAACAAATTAAATTTAAAAAACGATCCAATGTGAAGTACTGACTTAAATTAAGGCAGAAAAATACTGCTGTGGAAACACTACAAGACTCCCACAATATCCAAAAAAAAGGCAAGGCAACGAAGCTGCCTGCATGCTAAAATTCAAGGAAGAAATTCTTCCCTGTGAGGGTGGGCAGGCCCTGGCACAGGTTGCCCAGAGAAGCTGCGGATGCCCCATCCCTAGAAGTGTCCAAGGTCAGGTTGGATGGGGCTCTGAGTAACTTGGGATAGCGGAAGGTGTCCCTGCCCATGGTACAGGGATGGAACTAGACAATTTTTAAGGTCCTTTCCAATCCAAACCATTCTGTGATGTCTGCTAGATCAATGTCTAAACTAGTCTAACTACAGCAAACAGCAAAACAGTTTATAAAAGCAAACTGAGAGCCTGAAACATTTCAAGAGAACAAAACCAAGAAAGAGTAAGAAAACAGCCCTCATGCACAAAATACACTTATGTGTAAGAATTCAAGAAGTGAATTAACAGCAGTACCCTGTGTAAATCCAGTTCCAATAGTGTCACTCGGGCTGTAGCCATTGACAGGCGCCCTACTGCTCAGGTCTATCATCTGGTGCAGGCGGAGCTTTCGGCAGTAGATAGAGGCAGCCTCAGGTTCCAGGGCAATGATCAACTGCTCGGGATTTTCAGGAGATGCCATTCCTGCCTGAGAGAGAGAATCATCAGAGAAGTGGGGTGGGAAGTCCCACAGCCTTAGCAGACCCTTTCAGCTCTTGAACAAGGCTCTCCCCAGCTCACGGTCTCAGTTTAGGTCACCCCTTTGAGTTCAACCCACAAAGGAGCTGCTGCCAGTGGTAAAGGTCTGGATCTGGGAATTGTCCTGCCCACAATGTACAGCACAACTTCACAGGCTGTCACAGGGAAGAATGCATGCACTTACCATGCTAAGTGTATAACCAAGCAGTTGTGTATGTGACAGGTGGAGAAACGAAGGAAATCATTTTGAAACCTGTAATGAATGGTCTAAAACCTGAACTCCTCATTAACCTGTGAATTTGCCTGCTAAAAGGGGCCCCAGCCTCCTTCAAGACATGAAAGAGTACCTTTGGCCTCTCCTCCTCACAACAGTATTTTAAGTATGCCTTTCTTTATGTCCCAGATATTCATAGTCCTTGCTGAAATGAAGTTCCTGCACTGTTTAACCATACAGCAATATACAATATGCTTTGTCAATAATGCACCTTCTGACTTACAACCAATATTTTCTATTTCAAAATCCATTGCTTTTAAGCACGTTCACTTTCATAAGATCTTCAAAATGCTCAGTTTATTCAAGGACACAAAATACAACAGGGCAGGTTCCCTAAAATGTAATGAGAACAAGCCTAAAAATAATCTCACGTTATAAAATCAACATTTGCCATTCTTTCTATTTTCTTTCTGGATTTTCAAGAAGCCACAAGTTCTTATGTAACCACATAGTGCACTCCTAGAGCTGGGCTTGGAGAAAAACATTTAAACAACAGTTGACAAAACTGTGTTTTCGTTTCTTTTCCCCTGCACTTCTGCCTACGGCACAATTTTATGTTAAAACAGAAAATATATTTCAGCTCTTTCTGCCCAACTTTTGGTTTACCTGCTATTATTTTTCAGTTAAGTGCCTGAGTACTAAAGTATGCTAGTAAATACAGAACAAAATGAACATGTTTCTGCTTCCACAGTCAGTCTTCCAGCCTTTCAATTCATACAGGCACATTGTGGTGTCTCCAGAGCATTCCCAAAAGAAGGCAAACTCACATGGAAAGGCTGCAGACCTGGGCTAGAATTTGGTTTTTTTCATACAGCTACACTGTGGGGCTGTGGGAATCGCTGGCTACTTTACACCTGCAGCTAGAAACTCGAAGTAAAGCTAGTTTAACAGCAACACCAGAGTAAGACTTGGAGACACAAAACTGTCCTTCACATTTACTGACTCATTTTGCCCTCTCCACCTTCTGAAACATGATAAATAGATTCTTACAGAAAGCATCTTCCACACTGTTGCGAAGAAAAAAAGCAAAACAACCGCAAATAAAATTCAAAATAAAAAAGTGAGGGTTAAACTAAACATGGTTGCTCATTATTTTAAAAGCACACCTCATGATTGGGACTGTGGTCACTTTACACCTTCTACTGCTGTTGGGAAAAACCTTCTGCTTTAGTTACATCCACTGGACTGATCAAGCATGATCTGAAATAAGTACAAATGTCTGGGAAGGAAAATACTGTGCAAATGCCACAGAATATCAAACCTTGCCAGCTGTGTTGTAACACATATTGAAAAAATATTTTATGTTTGCAAACAAACTATCAAACTTTGGAAAATACAGGTCCACAACAGCCAGAGTAACTCTAAAGTGTATAAAAAGACTATCAATCACGCACAGGTCCAAGCAAAAGCCTCCTGCCATCACAGCACTTGCATGTGAGCATGTTGGCAGACACAGGCTCAGATAAAGCTCTGGAACTGTACTGGGGAGAAAGTTCTTGCATTGTGTGTTAGTATAAACCCAGTCTTTTCTCCAACCAGTCTGGATGTAGTAGGCACAAGCAGAGCTGGTTTCACACCAGCTCACTTCAACATCACTTACTCCCACCGGAGCTTTTCTACACAGGAAGCTTTGATTTGTTGCATTGGAAAGAGGAATATATGAAATACAGATCAATACTCGGTCCTTGACAGACACCTATCTAATCTATTATAGAATTCCAAAAATGTATGGTCTCTGCACACAGATTATCTCAGCCCTTTACTGTCTTTGCCTTTGGAGAGTTTTGCTAAAAGTCTAACCTGAATCTTGCTGAAATTCCAAGGCCAGCATTTGTTGCTCTACCCAGTAAGGGCTTGAGGAACAAATAGCTCCTTACTACCCTGCTGCACTTTTCACATATTAAATCCATTATCCTGTTTTGTGAGAGCTCTGAATCTGAGCAGCAAGCAGGTTTTTTCAATCCCTAGCAATGTGGATGAACTCAAGAGCGGTCAGCCTGCTCCATGTACTGGGCATGTGCCAGCAGCACAGACAAATCAATTCTTAGTCTCAGTCTAACCTATGCGCTGAAGACAAAATTGCATTTTAGGGAAAAAAGTAGTTTGTTGCTCAGGATATTAAAATTCAATGGTTACAACACAGATCATTTGCAAGAGGTGATAAGAACTGAGTTGCACACACAGGGAACGCACTGGTATTTCCTAACTCGGGGCGGGGCAACGGGGGCGAGGAGGAAGATTGTATTAACTGCGAAATCATCTGTTCTAGGGGGAATTTTGGTACAAACTTCCAGGGCTGCTTCTGCTAAGAGAAAACAGTAAACCATTAACAATAAGATTTGCTTCCTCCCTCCTCCAGCAGGTCTGTACCATGACCTTTTCATATTGCAGCCTGCATGCCAGGAGAGGAAGGCGGTGACCTGCAGCGGATGAACTCAGATCTGGGCTGCAGACCCTCTAAGTATAGCAGATGCTATTCTTGCTACTTTTTCTCTCTAGCCATTATTTTAATGTACCCAAAATATCTCCTGAGGAAAACATCCAACAGAAATGGCAATTTTTAACAGTTCAAAGCACAGCTGATCCTAACAGAATCTCATGAAGAATATGTAGAGCTTTTTCGCTTAAAAGCTTTTCTTACAGACTTTGAAGGGGCAGTGACAATGAAGAATGTGTTATTTCACATCGTAGAAACCATACAAAGAATCTTCCACAGTGAAAAGTACAAGCCAACCAACACATGTTTTTATATGTACACATACATATATATACACACCTATATATTTATATCTAAGTATATACATACATGTACATGTATATATAGTAATCAATATTTCATAACTCATGTATGTCGCAGTTCTACTTAGACCATGAGAGACAGCACATTACTGTTAATGTATATACACCCATACACAGCACAGAGAGAATGCAGGAAGGGGAGATGACAAAAAAACATGAACACACACATAATGCTAGGGAGGAATGGAGCAATGAGGTTGTTTTAATACAAGCCCTAAGATGAAGACTTAGGAGGCAGTACATCTGTCCTATCATTACAGCCAAGGAGCAAGGGACAGATGGGAGAAAAATATTGAGCATGCAGAGAAAGAGGAGGGAAAACAGCAGGCGGTAACACAAAGAAACAGTGATGCATTTGTTAAAAATATTAATTGTAGACATTTGGGAATCTGCTGTGTTTTACACTTTCTGCTTTCTATCTGCCTCACTCCATGTTCTTGCCCACTGCTGCCCAGATACTACTGCAATTAGGAACAGAAATTCCCAAGTTAACAGGCCTGAACAGGACAGATCTAAACAATGTCTTGATATTCAACATTCTACAGATCATTCTGGCAGTGGGACAGATGCAGTAATTTGCTTTTTGCCTAGGGCAGATTATAGCAGACTTTATAATAGTGCAGTGTCTTGACTTTAGCCTGCTAAGGAGATTTTCCTTCTACCATAATACTCGCTACCAGTATAAACCCAGTGATCACTTATGAGACACGAAGGAAGCAGCCATTTCTCCAAAACCACAAAAGTGGAAAATTCATCATGGAATTATAAAAAAATTCTTAAAAATTAATTTATTTGCAGGATATGGCTGCATTTATATACCTGGAAGAAGCAAAGGACACTATAGAGAACTACACTAAAGTTCAACTTTGTTCCTACGCCTGAGGACTAAGATTCCATTTTTTGACAAAAGAACTCCCATATTTTCACTCACTCCAGTAACACAGGTCTGTGAGCTTGAGCCAGTGCATTGCTGTCCATTTGTCAAGATTCATGATTGAGAACAAACTTCAAAGTGCTTCAAAGCCTCATGTACTGGAGCATTAATAACTTTACCATCCAGATGCAGGTGAATTCTCAACTTGGCTCATTAGCTTTTTTTTTATAGCCACAGATGTGCCACCAGGAGAGCCACAGCTGACCACAAAACATTCCTGATTCTGTGAACAGCATCAGCTGCCGAGTGCTAGCCTAAGTCATCATTAGCAAATACTCGGGTCTGAACTAAAGCTCTGTATTAGCAATCTGAGCACTTCCAGAGAACTACACAATTTTCACTCATTCCATATGCAGAATCATCATTACTACAGATTTAAAGATTTAAAAATCTCCTTTTAAAACCCAGCCTCACATGCACAGCAAAGAAAAGCAATGTTCTTTATATCTTTTTAACAGTGCCTATATAACATATATGACATATATTAACATATATGACCTTAGAGACAGCATTATAGTAGAATATTCTACGTAGTCTGAACCTCTTTAAAAGGCAATGAAAGCCATCAGGTAGGCCTAGATGAAAAAGTCCCATCTCTGAAAGCTGCTGTAATCAGCATTTAGCTGTAGTCCTCCACAGCCAGGCAGGAATGCTGTTATTCTATCAGGCTTTATTTATTACACCACAGTGTCCTCAAAAGAAACAGTATGTTAGGAAATACACCATCATTGACAAGGTACACATTTCCTTTTATGTCTCTTTCAAAATACTTAAGAGTTTTTTTCAGAGAGATACATCAGATATCTTTTTAAAGGAAATTAAAAAAAAAGCCTAACCACTGATTTGTAACACAAGGAACATGCCTTACATGGAGTGCACCTGTTTCTTTGAGTTACAAAGCTGACTGAAAGAACTGACTGGATGAATTCTAATTTCCTGCTTT